ACAGTGCGATTGGCACAGGACAGAGCAGAGTTTAGGGCTGTTGTACATAGGGTCGCTATGAGTCGCAAGCGACTCGACGGCACATAACAACAACAGCAGTGTATGTGAATGATTATATAAAACACAATGTACGTGAATAAAAAAAAAATCCAAAGTGAACTGGAGATGAGGAGAAGTTGGAGAGGAATGAAAATGTGTATCAATCAGTGAATGAAAATCCAGAAAAAAAAAATAATGTGAGATCACAAGAGTTCATAGAAAGAGCCCAAGAAATGTACCTTAAATCTCATGATTGCATTTACAAGTTAATTTAACTCAATTACTGTACAGATTTTTTTCTTTGCAAAATGTTATTCACATTTGTCAATAGTCATACAAGTGCCTTTGTATCTAGACATGATAAAGTTGATGAAATGGGGGGGAGGGTTAGGAGGAGGGAAAAGTGCAACAATGTATGAATGGAAATCCAAATTCTCTGTACATTTTAATTGAAATTAATAATACATTTTAAAAAAGAATATAAAATTTTAAAGTTGATGAAGTAGAATTCCAGTGTACCTAAAAGCTTTTATTCTGTCTTACTGAATGCTCAAAGTGCTTGAGTTTAGATGTGATATCTCTTTCCAAATGCACTTCCACTGTGATAGTTTGACTCTCCTGTTTTTGGTTGGGTAGAAACTGGAAGAAGCAGCATCTCGTGCAGCAGAGGAAGAAAAGAAACGCCTTCAGACTCAAATGGAACTGCAGGCCAGGTTCAACACAGAACTGGAGCGGGAGAAGCACGTGAGTGCCCTTCATCTGGAGAGCTGCTGAGTTAGCACAGAGCCAGTGTCAGTGGAGAGGACCAGGGCTGTGAGGCCAAAGATGAGGCCAGCTTGCCAGCTTGGGGCTGCTACTGACTAGCAGTGGAAATTGGGGCAAGTGATGTGTTTGTTCATTCACTGTCCGTTTACTGAGCACCTTTTATACATTAGGTACTATGCCACATCTCAGGCTGCTAACCAAATAGTCAGCAGTTGAAATCCAACAGCTACTGGAGGATGATGAGCAGTTTCCTCGCGTTACAGATACACAACCTTGGAAACCCAGTATAGGGTCTCCATGAATCAGAACTAAAACAGAAGTGGGCTTGGGACTTGGTTTTTGGGTGCCAAGGGTAAAATGATTTAAAGAAAAGATATACTTTGCTTCTAAGACCCTTAGGTAGAAATTCATAGAACTGGTTGATAAATTGTCCAGTGGTTAGGGTAACAACATCTGGTTTTGCCTGGGACAGTTCCTGTCATTCTAATATAATTGTCCTTAGCATCCCTTTTTATTCTCAACAGCATCCTGTTTTGGATAACAAAAAGCAGTGGGGAAAAGGAAGCTTAGGCTCTGTAGGGTTTTTCTTCTGTAGCGAGGAGAGTGGGGCTTCTTGCAATCATGAGACTGTGAATTCTGTTCTACGGTTCTGTGTCGCTCTAATTATTCTTGGAGAGTCTCATTCCTAAGAGACAGGTTGCTTTATCCTTGGCTGATTGAGCAGAAAACAGATCTCCCCACACTGAGTTATATGTGGGATAGTGTTGAAATGAATAAATGCTCATTACATTTCCTTTAGCAACGTTTTGTTTCTTATTTAAAAGAAATAGTGATTTTGTTTTTGTTATAAGAGAAAAATCCATAGAGGAAGATGAGTGTGATGTGAGATAAAGGGCTTTACTCAGCTAGTAGATGTGGATTTTTTTCCCTCTGTTGTTCTTTTCCCTCTCACCGAGCTGTTTTTCTGCAAATAAGGGAGATTATTTTATAATTTCTTAGGACTGTTATGAAGGTAAAACGAACTAATGCAGATGCAAATACTTTATCAGTTATAGAGCCCTATGGGTATAGCCAGCTCTGGTGGCCTGATGGTAAGAAGTTGGCCAACACAGAGGCAGTGAAAGATGGGCAGTCTTTGACACCTGTTGGAGGGTCAACTATAAGTCTCTTCTGACTTGATGACACGTAGCAGCCACATTGGGTATTTAGAATGGCTTTATCTTCTGACATTTAATGAATGGTTTTTAAAACTTTTAAAACCAGAAAAGAAAACCATGCATTTATCTGGCCACTAGTTTTAACTGCTTGCATTTCAAGAAGAGGGTGAGCAGCCAGGTGAGCACAGGAGTTGATTTATCTATCTATTCCCTTTTATTTCAACACATTGAATAGGCTGTTGGCAGAGGTGGCAGCCATAAGACAGAAAGGAATTAAAGATTATTTATATAGTGTAACTTTTTATCTTGACTTGATTATTTTTTTACTGTTCTGAAAATAGACAATTGGTTTAATAATTGCTATAAATTTCATGATAAAACAAGGCAGATGGCAAAAATAATGATTAAAGGGGATATTACATAGCATAAAAAGATATAAGAATAGAGGTATTTCAAGGTTATTGACCAAATAAATAAAATGATTGCTAAAACATTTTCACCAGGATTGTACTGCAAAGGGTTACTGTTACTAGCACCACATACTGGATGTTAGATTTTTTTTTTAAATGTGTGTTCTGTCAAATCGGATCTGACTGGTCTAGGAGGTGATTGTTCCTCCTTTTTCAGCAGAGCATCTGGTGGATTTGAACCGTGCACCTCTGGGATTGCAGTGCAGCTTGCCACTCACTAGGCTACCATAGCTCGCCTAGATGTTAAATTCTTTTGAAGCACCACATGCATGCTTGCTTATGTTTTATCATCATCTCAGGGCCTAACTCCAATAGTGAATTGTCTATACTCAATAAATAGTTATAAACCCTTTTCAAAATCTGTTTGTCCATACCCTCTCTTTAAAAATGGCCTTTTCCCCCATTTTGTAAACACAGTTGCCATATAACTCATGCCCTACCTTTTACCACCAAACAACACTCAAAGTTTCCACTTTGTTCTCTTCCCTTCTCTCTTTTCTTTCTTTTGTAGGCACATCTTTAAAATTTATATTATACTTTAATGTAGAGTTAAAGCTATGGTCATCAAATTGATCATGAAGTAGACCAGAGTGAGAAAATATCATTTGGGTTGTGGTTTGTTTTCCTGGACTCTTAAACATTGTTATTGGGTGGGATGCTCTGATCTCCACCTTTACTTTAAGGACAGGAGAATGGGGTCTATCCACTCTGAGCTACTGCCTCTGTGGACTGTGGGCACTACTTTGGGGCAGGGGTAGAGTGGAAAACTTTCCCTGAGGCACAGGTGGTCCTGCTTTTAAATATGACCCTCTTATACCACCAGATTCGACAGCAGATGGAAGAACAGGTTGCCCAAAAGTCATCGGAACTGGAGCAATATTTGCAGCGAGTACAGGAGCTGGAAGACATGTACGTGCAGCTGCAGGAGGCTCTCGAGGATGAGAGACAGGCTCGACAAGATGAAGAGACTGTGCGGAAGCTCCAGGCCAGGTGCCCGATTAACTTGTATACTCTGCCTTTCTGTATTTTACTTGGGCTAATCGAGTTTCTAGGAAATGTCTAACACTCTGGTGGAGAGAAAGAGTACCGAGGTATCTTTGTTCTTGACACTGAGCTTGAGATGTAGGTCCAGATTGGAGGGATCCCAGGAGAGTTGGCTGGCTAACCCAGCTGGGCTCAGGGAGACCTGGCTTCTGGGGCCTGAGAAAGGCCTTACTGCTATTTCAGAGCCTCTTGGTGGATATATTTGGTCAATACCTTTGTAGTTGTATTCTAGATTGATCCCAGGATGAGCACCAAGGTGAAGTTTACTTTTTAGACCTGTCTCAGACCCGAGAAGCCCAGTGCTGCCTTAGGGTGGAGGGCTGGGTTCTGCTCTAGGCCAGAGCTGCTGCTGCTTTGTGGGGGAAATGAGGAAATAAGTGGTGTCCATTAGATCATTAAAGATTGATGAAATTCCTTAAATAATTATTACTTGGAATCCTAGTTTCAAAAGTTCTCAAAAGCTATAGATTTCCCCCCCACCTCTTAAAAGTTCAAAATCAAGCTTACTGAGTTTGATAGGTAGGATGCACTACTGGCATAGTCCACAGTGAGTTGCACTGCGAGGCCAAAGGCTGCATGCCTCTGGTGGTGTGAATCTACCAGCAGCAACTCGGGAGAAAGATGGACAGTTTCCTCATGTTCCAATTTACAGCTGTAGGAATGAGTTGGAGGATTGCTATGTCGAGTCTGACTGGTTTCTGAATGATGTTGTTCTTGTTAAGTGCCGTCAAGTCATAGGCAACTCATAGCGACCCTATAAACGAAAGTCCGCAACACTTGTGTGACTTTCCTCCTTTCTGCAGGTTCATAGATTTTCCGGAGGCAAGCTATTATGGAAGTGGATACCACACCTGCTTCCAAGCTTGTTTTAACTGGGGAGCTCCACCAAACACTATCCGCCATGGGTAACCAACCATTAATGCATTTGACACATCAGTGTCACATTGTTCAGCTTCACAGCAACCACAAGTTACCTCTGTACAACAAGTGGACACACCAGGGCTATATGAACTAGAAGAATGTTTGAACAAAAACAATGAAAAACAGGCCTGAGGGCTGTAGATTAAAAGTCACCCACCTTTGGCTTGGTAGCATCACTTTCTGTCCACTAGGCCAACTGATCACTCTCTGTTTTAGAATGATAGACCAGAGTATCTTAAACCATTTAGATACCTAACCTAGTGTGTGTAAAGAGCTTTTAAAGAGCTTTGCTTCCTTAGCATAGAGTTTCTGGTTTAGAACATGATATTAAGGTTGTATCTACCACTATGGGAGGACTAGCTGATAACATTGCTGATACTTATAGTTATTGTCATTTTAATTGGCTAGTACTTTGATCCAGAGACTTATAAAACAACTCTTGTATATTATTGACACTTTTTCTGCAATGGGAAATGGGCTTCCAAAGGGTTTGAAAGGTTTCCTAGTTACACAACAACAAAGAAGTTCCTCTAACATAGCTATATTCCATACTGATCTTTCCTAGAGAACCACTTTAGATGGGATGCCTTCGAAAGGCATAGTGGTGAAATTAGATGGTGTCCAATTATTAAAGAGAATAGGATCCTAAAGTTTTGTCATAAATATGCAGCTATTTATAATAAATAGCCAGTGGTCAATTAATGCAGAAGACAGTATGTCAAATTAAATGTGATCGAAGGATTTCAGAAATCAATGTCACTAATCAAGAGGAAGGAAACGTATGAGAGTCTAAAATCAGAGAGGTACATGGTTTGTATGTAAATTGGGCAGTCTAAATCCATTTTTTAATCTTGATTGGAAGAGATCCATATTTGTTCTTTCCCAAGAAAGGTGATCCAGCTGAATGTGGAAATTATAGAACAGTATAATTATCACATACAAGCAAAATACTGCTAAAGATCATTCAAAAAACAGCTGAAACAGTACATATATAGGGAACTGCCAGAAGTTCAAGGAGGATTTAGAAGAGGCTGTGGCACCAGGGATATCATTACTGATGTCAGTTGGATCCTGTCTGAAAAGAAGAAATACCATAAGAATGTCTATTGTGATTTATTGACTATGCAGAGGTGTTTGACTATATGACAAGTTGTGGCTGACATTGAGAAGAATGTGAATCCCAGGACACTTGATTGTGCTCATGAGGAACCAGTACCTGGAGCAGGAGGTTGTTGTGTGAACGGAGCAGGGGAGCACTGCATGGTTTTCAATTGGGAAGGGAATGTGTCAGGGCTGTATTCTATCTCCATACCTGTTTAATCTGTATGCTGAGCAAATTATCCAAGAGGCTGGGTTCTATGAAGAGAAATGTGGCATCAGGATTGGAAGGAGACTCATCAATAACCTGTGTTATTCAGATGACACAACCTTGCTTGCTGAAAGTGGGGAGGATTTGAAGCACCTGTTGCTTCAAATACAGCCCTCAGTATGGATTATGTCTCAATATCAAGAAAACAAAGATTCTTACCACTGGACCAAGAGGCAATGTCATGATGGATGGAGAGGAGGTTGAAACTGTCAACAGCTTCATGTTGCTTGGATCCACAATTAACACCTTTGGTACCAGCAGTCAGGAAATAAGCAAACATGTTGCACTGGGAAAATCTGTAGTTAAGGACCTTTCTAAATTATTGAGGAGCAGTGATGTCAGTTTGAGGACTAAGGTGCATCTGATTCAAGCCATGGTCTTTCTGATTATTAGCTATGCCTCTGAGACGTGGATAATGAATAAGGATGCCAGAAAAAGAATTGATGCATTTGAGCTGTGGTGTTGGAGAAGAGCACTGAACATCCATGGAAGGCCAATAAAACGGATAGATATGTCTTGGAGAGGGGGCAGCCAGAGTTCTCTTTGGAAGCAAGAATGATGAGGCTTCACCTCACATGCTTTTGACATATTGCTAGGAGGTGCTATTCCTTGGAGAGGAACATGATGTTGGGAAGGATGGAGGGTCGGCAAAGGAGAGGATATGACCCTCAACCAGGTGGATTGACAGCGTGACTGCTGCAAAGGGCTCTTGTGTGTCAGGAAATGTGAGGATGGCACAGGACAGGACTAGGTTCAGATCTTTTGTTCATAGGGTCATATTCAACTCGAAGGCACCTAACACAACATCAACAAATCCATTTTTTAATCTTGACATGAATTTGGAATTAGTTTAATTTTTAAACACTGCCTTTCCAAATGGCAGTCCCTTTAACATTTGCTGCTGACGTAGGTCAAATACGTCAAGGACCACATCCCTTATCTGTGAGATAGCCTGTACAGATACCTAATTTGTTTCCATATGGTCTTTGTCAGATAGACGCAAGAAATGATAACTTAGGCCTGAAGGGTCTTGAGATATACTTGGAGATAAATTTTTACAGTAGGCCTCCAGAAGCCAACATGATTGACATAACCAGAAAAACTGGTTATATGTGTCATTAACAGGTCTTCCTTGTATGGATCTTATCCTGTCACTCACAACGTTATATTTCAAGAAGGATCTACAAACAGCCTTTTTAACTATGAAAGTGACTCCATTTTTTTCTCACCCTTTCATCTCCAGCATAGTAGATCATATGTTTGTCTAATTCAAAATGTCCTATGCCAATCATTTTGCTAATAATAATACCTAATATGTCAATATTTATGGGTTCCATTTCTTTCTTGACAGTGTCTAGTTTTCCTACATTCATGCTTCTCACATTGACATACCAATCACTAGTTTCTTCTTACAATTGTTCCTCCTTCTTTGTTTCCAGATTTGAGGGCTCAGCCTCAGATGCCATAACTGCTAGTCTACTCTTAAGTGTACTCTGCTGTACATAGGGTTTTTGAAGGCCTGTTATATTTCAGAAGTGGATGGCCAATCTTTCTTCCTGGTCTGAACTTGGATGCTTAGTTTTAGAACAATATCAGTAAAATGCTGAGCAGATGAAAGACATTTCCCTTACAGAAATAACCAATACATTCACTGTCTCCCCCCAACCCAAGCACAAGTGTCTTGTCTCTTCCTTTTCCCTGCTACATCACCATTCCTTGCACTCTCTCCTACCTGGAAGAAAAGATGCCTTCAAACTGGTGCTGGAGAAGAGTCTTGAATATACCATGGACTGCTAAGAAAATAAATTGGTCTGTCTTGGAGAGGGTGGAACCAAGTCTCTCCTTGGAAGCTAGGATTTTTAAACTCCATCTCACAGACTTTGGGTATGTGGCCAGGAGAGACAGGTCCTTGGAGAAGGGACATCATGCTTGGAAGGGTGGAGAGACAGCACTGGAGAGGAAGACCCAAGATGAGGTGGATTGATACAATGACTAGGGCAATGGGGGTTGGTATATAGGAATTAGTGAGACTGGCTCAGGATAAGGCAGTGTTCAGAGCTGCTGTAAATAGGGTTGCAGTAGGTCATAGGCAACTTAAAGGCACATAACAACAACAACAATATATATATGTCATAGGACCGTCCTGTAAACTGAGTGGCATGTATTTTTTTACTAATCATGCTGTCCCACTTTTGTCTTATGGACCTATCACTGCCAACTGAGTGACATGTATTTTTTTACCAATCATGCTGTCCCACTTTTGTCTTATGGACCTATCACTGCCAAATTCTTGCTTTTAGATATCCTGCCTTCAACTTGGTCTTTCAACCAGTTATCAATTTTGTAACCTTTAGTTCCTGATCAAGCAATATAAGATGTATCCTGCTTTCTGTTCTGGGAGAGCATCCTTAATGAGAAGGATGTTTCCTTGGTCCAGACAGTCTGTCTCCCTCAATAAACATTATTTGCTTTTATTTTTAAAAAGAAAAGGAAAAAGAAGTCTTATTGGAGAGTCCAAATATTATGGAAAATTTTTTTCAACTTTATTTTTTTTATTAATTGAGTTTATTTTTCATTTCAATGAAGGAAAATTTTTTTTAAGAAAATATCATCTTTATTTTAAAAACTTTGCTACTACCCAAGTAATTACACTTGT